AAAAAAAAAAGAAGACCATGTATGCATGAAATTAAAAATATAAAATGTTGACAATTTACTCATTGCATCATATATATATATATATATATATATATATATATATATATATATAAGAATGTGCAGTTGTTGTCATGCAAATTCCAGTTAATTTTACTACATTCATTCATTTATTTTATGCAAAAATACACTTTGGAAAGGTCTGAACCGATCTCTTCATCTCCACCTTAAATAGTAGGGCAGACTGGTTTCTTTAACCTTGAATGACAACCAGTCTATAACAACAACTCCTAATTCGAAACCTCAGGACAGTTGTTTAGTGACCTTGCGGCACACTGCACAAAAGGTGTGGTTTGTTCTGCATAAGCCTTCACCAGTATTATCAAATGTGCAGATAGCCTGGCTGTTAGATAAAAGTAGGTTTAATTATTCATGTATAATGTACTTTTTTTTTTTTAGGTTATGTAAATCTTGAACTACGAGTTTTTGATGGTTTAACAAGAGATCACACACACACACACACACATATATATATATATATATATATATATATATATATATATATATATATATATATATATATAAGAGAATAAATAAAATTGGGTCCAACTATATACTGAGGCACATTTAAAAAAGAAAAATTTAATTTTGAAGTGTAAAATTTTAGTATTCAAACATTTTCAGCATTTCCGGCCAATGTATAATTATTATCAACGTTTGTGTTTTTATATTACCCCTGCCCTTCATACCTATGTCTAATTACATCAACAAAAACATTAGTTTGATGATGTCCTAAAGAATGAAATGCATCACACAAAACATTTTTTCCACTTTGTTGTTAATTTACCTAATATAAAATCATTAATAAAATAAATAATGAGGACAGTAAAAACATAGTGGGTGATGCAAAATTCATACACACACACACACACACACACACACACACACACACACACAAGATATAATATATAAAAAGTCGGCAATTAATTCTGTAATTACAGAATTGAGTGACCTTTTTGACCACTGACAAATAGCATGTACACATGAAACTTTAAGTCACAGCAAAATTTTAGTGTGGCTTTTTTATATACTGTATTTTTTTTGTGTAATATATAACATGGCAAGGATCATACATGAATATATAGAAATATGTGATACACTTGAAAATTCACTTCTGTAATGAAATACCAGGAAATACCAATGAATGCTTGCCTATCACACTGGTAACACGTGGTTCTTTATAATAACTGAGACAATTGAATGAAACCGAATAAATCTTGAATGTCGGATAGTTTATCTATAATTTTAATCTTGATGTGCAACATCTTAATCAAAAATTGGAAAAAAAATAAAAAGTTAAACGCACCAACCTTGTTCGTTGGATTTAATAAAACTCTATTGAATGAATACTTATTGCCTAAATATACCTTATTATATATATATATATATATATATATATATATATATATATATATATATATATAACATGGCAAGAAATATTACATAAACATGGAAATGTGCAATACACTTGAAAATTAATAAACCAATGATATTGCGTAAAAATCTGAAAAGCTTTTATAATGACTAATAATAGTCAAAAGTATTGACATTGGACAATTTATATCTAAATATGTATCTGAAATCAACCAAAAAATCTGAAATGTAGAGAAAAAAAACCCCGAAAAAAACAAAATCCTTGACAAAGAATTTTTGTTCTTCTTTAACTAAACTTATATATTTAGATGGTTTGGTTGGTTTTGTTTTACGGAATATCAACCTAAATGGGTTGACAAGATTTTTGTTGTTGGTAATATTTTATCTTCCAAAATTTGTTGCTCATATTAAAAGCTATTTTTACATTTTCATAGTGTTTTGACTATAGTGGGTTAACTATTTGCTCATAGTTGGTACCCTAACAGATGCTACCACCCTGGTTCAGAGTGGACTTGGGAACACCAGCAATTAAGAAGTGGTTCAATGTTCCTCAAAATCTCCTGATCAGAGGCCTTGCTGTTGGATGTAGTTCATCGTCTTACCCAGGACGCAGATGTAGTTTATCGTCTTACCCAGGATGCAAACTTAGATATAAAAACCTGGGTAAAAATTGTGATTTTTGAATGTTGGTTCTAAGGTCACTTTGCAGATCCGTTTGCTGCTAATTTACCCTCAGACTGTACTAAGTTGAGATTAATTAGAATCAGTTTAACTGGTGAGGACTGAGTATCACTTGAAAATCTGGGCCATCATCATGTTTTTAGTAACACATTGGTAATCCCATGTAATGACTGACAGAAAGTAGATTCTAAGTTTATGATTGCATAAATCTTTGACATTATCAAATTATTTTCTACCTGCTATTAGCCTGTCATTATTAATCTGCTTCGGTTCCAGTCTCAAATCTAAATTATCTATTGTTTAGAAGATTGTTGGCGTACCATGGCGAACAATTGACCTTCATGGTATTTCTCAGAATTATATAAAATATTTGATAGCACCTATCTCCCCACCTCCAGTAACATGTAACAGGTTGTATTGGGTTATATGGTACCACCAGCAAAGAGTAATTCTTGACCTGACCTATTTTTGGGGATGATAGCAGTGGCTTTCTTCTGCCTACCTCTCTCTGAATTCAGATTTGTCCTTCTTCTCAACTGCCACTCAAAACTAGAGAACCCAGTCTTCTTCTTTTTATGTGCCATGTCCTTTCAGGGTGTAGGTGATCATGGCCCTCCACTTTGCCCTCTCCCTTGTGGCTGTCAACAGGTTTTGTGTTTCTGCCAACTCCCCCAGACCACGCTCCACCATCCACCTGCCCAAGCCTGCCACGTATGTCATACACTTCTTTCTCCTGTCTCTTTTTCCCTCTATTCATCCCGTGCATATCAGATTCTCCCGGCCCTCCTTTCTCATCATGTGTCCCAGAAGTTTCATCTGCCTCTTCCTTATACTAAACATAAGCTTCCTCCTTGTTTGCATCCTCTCCAAGACTTCATTGTTGCTACATGCTACATGCTTGGTCTATGATGTTCTCAGCCTCTTTCTGTAGAACCACATCTCTGCCACCTCGAGTCTCTTTTTCGTCCTTGAGGATACCGTCCAACATTCACTGCCATATAGGACAGATTTCACGTAGCAGCTCAGTACTCATTTCTTTGTTAATAACTCATTCTTGAATTGCTCCCTTATTCTGTTGGTATAGTAAGCTGAAGGGTGCACATCCTATGCATACTCCACCAAGGTGCACATCCTATACATACTCCACCAAGATATTACCAGTGGGTCATGTGCCCCATGTTGGGAATCATTGATCTAAATAGGTCAACAGTAAAATCATGAGACCTAATTGCCAATCTAGCAGCATGCTTAAATTCATACAGTCAAATCATGAAGGAAAGAAGTTCATCAGAACAGTTGCTATGAAAATATTTGTAGAAAAGATAGAGGGAAAACATGTTACGTCAGCGAGAAATTAACTGAAGTAGAGATGCCAGATCAGGATCGATAGAAACCTGCTGTCTTTTTTCTTTGCTGTGAAGGCAAAATAAGTGGGTTGGGGAGTCTGTTGGCCTATCCATTTACCTAGTTTTTTGAAAGATCGGAAATATTTTAATAAACTCTTTTATTTTTTGTCTATTAAAAACTGATCAAATGGTGCCTGTTTCTACATGTACAAGTATTTTGTGATTGTTACAAGAATCATTCTTAGATAAAGCATGTATTGTCATACAAACCAATTGTTTTGAAATAATTAAACTATTGTTGACATAGCAAGAAAAGAGTGTTTTAACTTTTAAGAAGAGTGGTCAACTGCTATGTAATATCAATCCCCCTATATGGTAGTGAATACTGGACAATTTCCTCACAGATGAAAAGGTGACTTGAAGCAACAGGGATGTGGTTCCCAGAAGGATGCTAAAAATACAATGGACCGAGTATGTATGCAATGAGGAAATTTTAAGGAAAATAGAAATGAAACAAACTCTTATTAGAATCAGAAAGTTACAGCTGAAATTTCTAGGACACATCAGAAACCACATCACTTGGGGACTACCAACATCAGCAACCATTAAAATAGATAGCACATGTAAGAGAAAATAATGATATATTCAAGATGTTGACATTCCACACTACCTTAAACAAAAGGTTAGAAAAGAAACTAGATCAATACTAGAAAGAGTAATAACAGCTACTAGACTTGAAAAACCTATTTTCCTGAAAATTCTCAACTGAAGACAGTACTGTTTGCTTTGTCAATGAATGCCAGATATTTCCTTGTAGGGAAACAGCTAATATTACCATTACCATAATAAGGAAGGAAGGCTTGAAGAATTTGATACTCACAGGACATATTAACAGCAAGAGTTAGAAGCAAACAGCAAGTAACCTATCTAATGAGGTTGTGTAAATTGGGTAACAGAATAAGGTTGTGGTGGGATAGTAAAAGACAAAAATTGCTTAGAGCTTTTTTTTTTCATTTCACCTGAAGCAAGGCAATAAAGCCACTAAGATTAAGGAGTGAGAATAATAAAAGAAGAATTAAGATAGAAGTTGACAATTGGCGTTGCATTTAAATTTTTGAAGTTGAAAGTTGACTGGGAAGCAAGCCAGAAAGGAGATCCACAAGCAACAGAAGAAACTGTTAGCATAGAACTTATGGTTACATCTAGCCATTTCAAATGTAAAATGCAAAGGATTGGAAGTTGTGGAGAACTATGATTTCCCAGATCCTGAAGGGAAACAGCTCATGAAAGAAGACTGATAACAACTTACAATAATAGTTGAGAAAATATTTATTGTTGCTGAATTGTCAGTTGTTGAATATGCAGTAGTATTATTTTATTACTAGTTTTAATTGAGACTTGTGGCCATATGGCAGAAACACAGAAGTTAAGCAACGTTGAGCCTAGATGGGTAAACACAGAAGTTAAGCAACGTTGAGCCTAGATGGGTGAATGCTTGGGAATACCAGGTACTATAAGGTTGGATGTGCAGTTGTTATGGTTTACAGCCATATCATGTTGAAACAACAGTTCTCATATGATCACCGAAGTTAAGCAATGTTGAGCCCAGTCAGTACTTAGATGGGTAACCATTTGGGAATACTAGGTGCTGTAACTTGGATGTGCAGGTGGTATAATAGGCTTGCAGCATATCACGTTGCAACACCAGTATTTGTATGGTCACTAAAGTTAAGCAACATTGAACCTGGTTAGTACCTAGATGGGTGACTTTTTGGGATACTAGGTGCTGTAAGTTTGAATGTTCAGGTTGTGAAATGGATAACAGCTCAGAAATGGAAATCGGACAGCCAAGTTCCAATTTTAGTGATGTTTGTTATATTCACTTATGCACAAATACCCTTGGGAAAGGTATGAATCCACCTCTTTTTCCCCCAGCTATAGGTTAATTAGTAGGATTTGTATCAGTAAACCATTATTATCTACAAAAAAAATCTTACAGTTTAATAATGTCTTGTGTCTTTAAATAACCTGCAAAAGGTTAAGCTGTAATAAATAAATAAAATCCATCAATAATCTTAATTGATATTTTTATTTATTTATTTTTTTTTTTTTTTTTTACTATTTGGGTAATTGGTTAGCAAAGTCAGAAATAGTACAAGTAAAACCTTCATGTCAAGAACGTGTCATACCACTTACATACTAGCAAACCACCTACATTCCCTCCATATTGTGTTGGTGAGAAGCAAGTTCCACTCAAGCAGCTTCTTCCCATGAACTAACTGCCCTGTTGGAACCAACTGCCAACAGGAGGTTTCCCCTGATCACTACAATCTTAACTTGTTCAAGGCTAGAGTTAACCGTTATCTTCCACTCTTATGCATACAAATGGCCCAAGGTGACCCTCCGTCTTGAGTGGGCCGAGCTGACCCTCCGCCTTGAGTGGGTTGAGGTGACCCTCCGCCTTGAGTGGGTTGAGGTGACCCTCCGCCTTGAGTGGGTTGAGGTGACCCTCCGCCTTGAGTGGGCCAAGGTGACCCTCCGCCTTGAGTGGGCCAAGGTGACCCTCCACCTTGATTGGCCCCTTCTCCTTGTAAAGGGTGAACCATACTGTAAAAAAAAAAATAGGGAATATAAAAACATTAATTTGAAATTAAAATAAAGCCAAATAAAATCTTTTAAAATTATTTAGATCAAATCTTTTTATTCTTTCCTTTTTAACAAAAGAAGCCATGTTTTTTATTTAAAGTTTTTTTTTTTTCCCTAACTTTGCTGGTGACAGAGAGTTGTTGGGTAATATGTTTCTGTTTCTTCTCTGTGCTTAATTAATTCTTTACATTTATTTCAGTTGGCTTATGTGTCCAAAGTAAGAACATTTACCTCTAGCCAAACATAGCACCTCCTAAAAATATTGCCACATATCTTTTCTTTTTTCCATGATCTGTGACCAGCTGAGAATGGCAGATGGACAAACGAGGCACTAAAGAATATTTACCTGTTCTTACCTGTTCCTGATCTTTCAAATAGAATGAAAGAATTTAAGAAAAGTTCTAAAGATAAGTTGTAAATTTAAAGAAAACGAATGCATAATTTCTACTCTGGTATGTATGTGTGTACATATGCAAAATATCTGAAGTGTAAGATATATATAAGCTTAATTGAAATGTGTGCTTAATAGGAAAGAATATACCTGAACAGGTAAAAAAAGGTGAGATCTGTGAAGAAGGTATGTTTTGTGAATAGGTGCATCAGTACTGTAGGATTCTACCTTGCTTAAAATGTAGCATACAAATATAGTGAGGCTTTTTTGTTTGATCAGTATAAAAAAAAAGTGTGTGTGAGATACAATGCAATTCTTTGTGTGTATGAAGGAAGATATGTTAATAGTTTAGGCAGGTTTGTGTGCACACAGGCTCACTAAGAGAGAGGGTAGCAGTGAAACGGGCCAGCCCAAGGACCTGTTATATTATGCATTTGGACAGCAATTCCTCTTTTATACAGATTTCATACATTTGTACAAATGATTTCTTTTTTGGACATAGTGTGGAAGTACTGTCCAAATGATCTGTGAATCTGAGCACTTTCAGCTGATCTACTGGCCATTACCAAGGATGATTTTCTAAAATATATATATATATATATATATATATATATATATATATATATATATATATACACACACACACCCACACACAATCTTTTGGCGGTGGGGGGGGTTGTAGTACATTTCATCCTTTAGGACTTCATTAACAAAATGTGTCACAAGAATACTTTTTCCATTTTGCCATACATTTTTTCCCAGTATTGTTCCTGATATATTTTTAAATGCATATTTTCAAGAAATTAAATTTTCAACATTTGAATTGGAATATTAACAAATAACATCTTCAATATGATTACCATTATTTGTGATGCAAAGGTTTATATGCTTTACAAGATTCACATGAACTCGATAGCAACATTGCTGTAAATTTTACCAAATTCACTCTTTATGCATTCTATCAAGTGTGTTGCATCTGTGATTTTCATTGAGTACACCTTCTCCTTTAACATATCCCAGAAAAGATTAGAAAATGATACTGCCATAGTTTCTTATGAGTCATTTTTACTACAACAGTTCTTGACCTCATTGCATCAGGCTTATTCTCACCTTGGTCTTGATATCAACCCAGATAAAACATAGGCCATTCAAACAGCATTTAAAAGATGTGATCCAGCAGCTTGGTTGTACGTTGACAGTGTTTCGTTGTCTAATGTTAATTCATTCATTTACCTCAGCAGTGTCATATCCAATAATGGACACATCGATGAAGACCTTCTCTGGCAGATAAACCTTGCTGCAGCTTCCTTTGGATGTCTTCACCTCCAGGTCTTCTCTAATAGCAACCTCTGACTCACCACTAAAGTTGCTGTCTATCGAGCTGTTGTTGTTTCAACACTGCTCAACTGCTGTGAATGCTGGACCTTGTATCGCCAACAAATAAAACTGCTTGAAACATTTCAAATCTGCAGCTTTCAGCGAATCTTGCATGCTACTTGGAAAAATAAAATTCCCCACACTGAAATTCTTCAACGTGCAAATATTTTCAGCATCGAAGCCATCATCCAACAACACCTTTTATATTGGGTTGGACATGTGTGGATGTCAGGTAATCACCTCCCAAAAATTGTATTCTTTGGAGAGCTTGACACTGGCAGCCACCCATGTGGAGGCTCAAAGAAATGATTATGAGACTATCTTAAGCATGTTCTTGTCCCCTGCAACATTGACCCGACACAATTAGAGAACCTCATAATGAATCTGATCAGCTGGCTGCCTCTTTGCGTCGCCAGAGTAGCACACTTTGAGGAAGAGAGACAAAGAGCGCTTGAATAAGGGTGATGCCAATGTCATCTGCGAATTGCCAATTCTGCACCAGACATGTTTCCCTGCCACCTGTGCCCAAGAACTTTTCGTTTGTGGATTGGGCTGCTATCTTATTTGGCAGCCCACAGAAGATGGACGGAGATGGAAGGACGGCGTTGTCGTCAGCAATGATGGACAGCCTAAGAGAGTATAGAGGCTCCAGAAAAAGAAACCAATTCTTTCTTTCGATAAAACCCTGTTTAATCTGTGGAGGTAAAAAAAAAAGTATATAGTTAATGAGATATGCTGTGTGTCCAGACTGTAGGGACACATTCTATATTCAGATAAGAAAAAAAAACTCATTGATAATGGCTGATAGATTAGGTGAAAATGTACATAGATCATTTGGACAGTTCTTGCATACTGTCCAAAAAAGAAATCACTTGCACAAATACAAGAAAAATATAATAAAAAGTTTAATTTTAGTGCCTTGTCAGTCATCCTGTATGAAGCATATATCGTTCCAACATTGTGAAAATCTAAGTTTGTGTGGGTGGAAAAAAAACGAAACCCTTTGCTACCATCAATACAATATGGAAGGCTCTAACTCTGGGGTACACCATCACTCTTAGCAGCCCTGTGTGTGTGTGTGTGTAATATATGTGTGTGTGTGTGTGTGTGAGTAAAAGATTTCTGACTATAGCTGTTTCTATTTGTATAAGAATAAGTAGCTGTGCATGAATGTAGAAAGGCATGAAGGTGTATAAAAGTTTGGATGTTGTATATACAACAGTGCAAATTTAAATCAAATTTTAGAGAGCAAATTATTCATTTCCTGCTGTGAGATTTTTGTCATAAGATTTTCTTAAATGTTCAATAAATATTTCGATAGATAATTAATCTTTTGTTCTGTTTTCTTATTCAAAAAAAATTTTTCCCTTCCTTAAAATGTGATTATTAAATTTCATGGATTTTGAGAAGACAATAGCATAAAGAAGAATTTTAAGATGCTTTTAAAGTGTTAATGAAAAGAAAAAATAAATCTTAAATAAAATGTCTTTGGGTAAAAAAAAAAAAAAAAAAAAATGTTCTGCAGATCTCCAGTCTTCTTCAGGTGGCTAGATTTGCACCACCACAAAATTGGGTCCAGATGGATTTAAGGAATATTGTTAAAGAAAGACAAAAAAAAAAAAAAATGAATATTTATGAAATAGTACAATTATAAAAACCAAACAAATTCATGTCTTAAGAACATTTCTCATAATTTTAAAATTATTCAGCAGACAATGTTATTTTATTTATGGTAACTGGATTTAAGGAATATTCTTAAAGAAAGACAAAAAAAATGACTAATTATGAAATCATACAATTATAAAAACCAGACAAATTCATGTCTTAAGAACATTTCTCATAATTTTAAAATTATTCAGCAGACAATGTTATTTTATTTATGGTAACTGGATTTTTGGTGATTGCCTTACTTGGTTTCTGTTATTCAATACTGTGTATCTGAAAAATGGCGCTATTATTACAGTTGCCTTCACTTCTCATTGTGCATGTTTGAACTGAATGGCAAAGGATGAGTTCTTATGGTGCTTGTGTAAATTGTTAGAAAGGATGGGTTGTTAATCAAATAAGCTAGGAGTTGGATAGTTATTGATAACCAGTTTCTCTTCGCTCTCTCTTTGGCCTTGTGCAACAAATAATGTATATTGTTATTAAATAAAATCACTTCTTGGCCTTTTGGCTGGGATCAAAGTGTAGTATCTGTCATCTGCTGGATAGACTACATTTCATCTCTCAGTTGTGT